CCATTTGTGGTCACGGCAGTATCCTATCATTTGGGGTCGGAGCCCACCTGTGGGCACTACTGCACGGCGGTCCTGGCGGGTGGCTTCTGGTGGGTCTTCGACGATGGCTCCAGGCCGGAGAAGTTCGACCGAATCCCAACTGTGATCCAGGAGAACTGCTGTCTCCTATGGCTCAACTGCACGCCGCATGGAGGTGCAGAACCAGTCTCAAAACTGACGGAGGAATCTCCTATTCTCTCTGAGGAGGAGAAGCTTGCGAACATCATTCATGACCCCTCCATAAATGATGACTGGCACCACAAATGGCTCCAGGCTCTTGACAGGCTTGATGCTGACATTCTGGTGGACCATCCGGGACTATGCCATCGGCTGGTGAAGAAGTGCATCATCTGCCAAAGTTGGCCTCGTGACATGAATGCACACCTTGAAGTTGCACATCGAGCACTGTGGGAGGCCTCCCTGCCGATGGCCGACAAATGTGGCGCTGCCTTCAATGCCAAAGCACACCCAACCAGGTGGTGTGCTTGCCAGCCATACCACACAACTGAGCTGTCTGAGGACCACCCGTGTCCATGCCTACGCCAATTTGGCATTTTGCACTTGGCATTGCGGAAAAGCCAGCCAATGTCTGCCAGAACGAATCTGGCACGCTTGCTGGACCTGACCTTCAGCTAAAAGCTGAGGCTGGAAGTCCCTTCGGGGACCAGGCGGATCAATGGATCCACGCCATCATCACTCGATGAGCGTAGAGAAAGAAAGAAAGATGATGATGATGATGATGATGATGATGATGATTGGTGGTGGTGGTGATGGTGATGATGATGATGATGATGATGATGATGTGTTCAACATTGTTTAACCACTTCCACAGCTTGCAGGAAGGAACAAGTTCTCGTGATCTTGGAAATTGGAATTCACATAAGCCAAGACCCACTGCGAAAATGTAAGGACCCAAGGATGATCATTGGTGAATTATATAAGCGGCCAGGGAAACAAACAATGCTGTCCACCTGTGAAGAATTTACCATGTTCACTGAATGTCACCAAAGACCTGAATTCACCCTGACATGCCACTCAGTTTGCAATCTGAACTCTGATGAGCAATGTGTGGTACGATGCGTAACGTTGTAACATCATGGGCAGACATCATACCCTGGCTAGCCTATACCTGCAATGCCGGCCAGGGAGCTATTAGAAACAAGAAGCTACTAGGAACAAGTGCATCGCTTCTAGTAACAAGTGCCTTACTAGTAGTAACAAGAAGCTATTAGTTAATTTAATCCTAATAGCTTCTTGTTACTACTAGTAAGGCACCTGTTACTACAAGCGATGCACCTGTTACTAGCGATGCATCTGAATCAACACGTCTTTTGATGTCCAGTTCTTCCATTAGCAAAACGCCCCTTGCTCCCGATGGCGTTAATGCCCATGTTCTCCAGTTTGGAGGAGTACTTGTGGAACGTTGATCCGTCACTAAAGACCTGGACGTTGATCCGTCACGAGTCCAGTCAGATCCCAAAAGGATGTCTCGAGTAGTGCCTAGTAACACCAACCTGATCAGCCTGATGGTGGTCTTTTTATGCGCCTTTCCTGCCCAAGCTGAGAGCCAGGCTGCCTGGCTCGGTCTCAGCAACCTTGGTCAAAAAGGTTCAACGACGAACCAAAAAGTGATTCTTGTTCATGTTCAGGCCGCATGTAGCGCATCCTTTTTGTTGATGGAAGAGTAACAGTATTTCCCCCTGTCCCACCCACCAAAACTCTTTTTGATTATCAATGCAACTCCCTGAATTTCAAGTGATACATGATTTTGGCTCTTCGGCCCCTTGTGATCCCACGCCTTCCCGGCCTGGACTGTGAAAAAACCATCAATGTAGGTGGGCATCATCAACGTCTGAAACCATGCGGGTCGGACTCGGACGTTTGATATTGTTGGACTATGTTTGACTTGTGCTGCTACCCACTTGGTACTTCTCCAGTGCTCATAAGTTCTCGACTGAGACCAAATATGAGTTCAGAAGAGATCTGAGCAGTTCCAATAGAAGACCCAACTTCAGCCATGAACAATGACAAGGAAGCCTTCATCAAGACTTCATCAAGCATGTAGACTCGCCCGGAACAAATCGGTGCAAATTCCAAGTCTTGAATCCCCACTTGCCAGCTACAGTACATGCTATAAAATCGTGACACTCTTGCAGGGCACTCTGCCTTACGGGGCACCCTTGTGGGGCGTTCTTGTCCCGCACTCTTGTAGGACGCTCTTGTGTGCAATTCGTGTGGGGCGCGCTTGTAGGGCAATCTTTGGTGCACTCTTGCAGGGCACTCCTGTGAGGCCCTCTTTTGGCACACCGTTTTGGTCACCAGTGCCAAGACAGCTCCACAGGCGTCCCTGCAGGTAAACTTCCAGTGCCTGCGGAACGCCCAGGCAACACGGGTTACCTGCGGTTGTTCAAATCAAATGCAATTATTAAGTCCGACAATGAAAACCCAATGATCTAAGTGATCCCCAGCTCAAATTTAACCGAAATCGAGCTGTCATGCAATTGTCTGGCAGACTGCGGGCAATTAGCTACTAGTAGTAATGCTCTTGTTACTAGTAGCGATGCCCAAACTCTGTGATTCTTCCTTCCCAAAAAATGTCTAGTCAAAAGTCTTGAAACAGAGGCGTCAGGTGGAATAGCAGGTGCACATATCGAATGTGTGTCACTCTGATGCACTAAGTTTTGCATTTTGCTGAATCATACAGCGGCTATACTTCATGTTTCTTGTACTCCATGTTAGTTGCATGTGTAGTTATCGTGGTTGAGTGGGCAACTCCTTGGAGAGCTTTCTGATGTTTTCTAGGGTCTTTGCAGGTAGCACAAGGATGTAAAGGAAGTTTGAGGCTGTCTGCAGATTGGTGGTGCGCTTCCTGACACCCTGATACTCGGGGCTGCAGGTTTCTCAAGCTTGTGATCATGGACTTTCCTGTACCCCGAAACGTCTACCCTGGCCATTGATGTAATTACTGCCTTTGTTTTGCCGGTTTTAGATCGGTTCTTCTGCACAAATTCCAATGGTAAACCGAAACCCTGCAGAACGTGGCCATTTCCACATCAGCATTAGCCTTTCAGGACTTCCCACTCATCGCGCCTGGCTGCATCCCAGGCCCTGCGTTCCAGGCCGGCGGAATCTTCGCGCGGTTTCGCAGATCGGGTCCTCAGTGAAGAGAGGGCGACTAGCAGGTGCCCGACCAGCTTAGGCTGGAGAGATCCGCCAAAACTAACTCGCTGGTCCTGTCATCGGCCAAATCAGTGGCAGCAGCAATGTTCAGAGTGGAAAAAATTGTCTTTGCTTGAAAGAGGGATGCAATACATAAATCATGATATCTGCACTGATAACAACCCAGTTGATGAAACATCAGAAGGGGTGTCTTTAAAATGTTGAATGTTGAATTCCGCCAGGCATCGTTTCTTTGGCTTGGGCGCCGTCTTTGGGCGCTTGGGCTGCTCCTTTCCGTACTGACACCTGCTCAAGAGCGTTGGACATGTTGTGCCAGCCAATTCTCCTCCCACAGAAAACTGTGGCAGGGACAGTCAAAATTGTTTCATCTCAGATATGGCAATTAAGGTCCGGATTCTGAAGAAAGTCATGAAGAATTTGTGAGGGAAACTCCTTGTCCCTCCCTCAAGTCAAAGATCGATGCGTTGATGCGCTTTTAGAGCATCCCATCATCCAACCCACAGCGCACCTGCGTGCCATGCTGGGGCGCTGCACTTTTGGCGGTGGATCAGAGTGCTGCACTTCGGGCTGCAACCTCCACGGCATGGGTCATAGGTTTGAAATCCAAGGGCCTCAATTAGGACAAGTCCGAAGCCAGTGCAGGCCTTTTGAGTTGGAATTCTTGAAGTCCAAGAGTCCAAGATCTGATGAAACTGCGTGGAACCAAGTGAATTCCTGGAGGTCACGATTGCTGCATCTGTGAAGTGCAAATGGCTTGTTTGCGACAACTGTCTAACATTGCTAATCAAAAGACATCGCGAGCTTAGGCAGCAAGGTACACCTGGAGATACCTTGAGGAATGGGCACCAAGGCAGCAGGCTACAGGAGGGTTAAATCTCCATGTGCACAAGTAAATGGTGTTCTCCTTCTAAAGAAAGAGGCCTCTTCCTACTTGCATGCAGTCAAAATCTAGACTCCAGTCACAGTGAACTCCCAAAGGCAAAGCCCTCTTGTCTTTCAGGTGTTTTTAAGGTGGAGGTCTTTCCTTGTTCTTCTACCCTTTTCTTCCAAAATAGGCATGGAATTATCATAATTTAAACTATATATACTGTATATAGTTCTTCCATGTTCTCCTCCCACTCAACAACGACCTCCGGAAGCCTTCGGGAGGCGTTCATCAGCTTCAGCGCCAATGGATGTTTGGAGCCGAAGAGGACGATGGCCAAGACCAAGCCTTCGCCTCGTGGCCAATCAGAGGGGACCATCTCCCAAGGTATATCAATTCCAAGGAAATATACCAGTAACAGAGGATGATGATGGTTAGTGGCAGCCTTTCTCAGAAAAGAGTGATCATCCTTTGCCATCCTTTGCCTACTATGGTGAGCATCAAATATTATCTCTATTTGCAGCAAAGGTTCTAGTTTGAGAGAACTGGTAAAATCTACTATATATATAAATAACTATAAATATATGTATACATTATATACATCTTTAATTGCACTAACTTGCCCCGTTCATCTTCCACCTGCTAAGAAATGACATGAAATAACTTGTGGGTGCGACTATTCTCACTTCTCTAGTTCAGGTGGCAAGGTACTGCAGCACGGCGTGAACCTGAAGTACCGTTGGCTACAAACGAGCCCCGCCAGATTCCTGGTCCACGTGTCCAAAGCATCCGGGCAGCTCATGCACTTCAATGTTCAGATCTCAATCAACCCAGAAGTATTTCATGTCTGTTAGAATTCGGATGTATCGCATGATCAGCAGAAACCCCAACCCATAAGCCTTCATCCTCCTGACCTGGGGCAGTCTCCCGGCTTGGACCGTTACCCTTCACCCTCCGTTCCCAGATTTGATCCAGTGGCGCAAGGAGGGCACCACCCACAAGTCGTAGACGCGCTTGGAGCTGAGCTGCGCTAAGGCGCATGCCACATGTAGGAAGCACAGCCTGGTGGGCGAGGTGGAAGTGAGGGTGGAGCATCTGGGCCACCCATGACCGGCGGGTGACCAGAAGGGGGTAATCCTAAGCGTAGACTCAGACTGGTGATGAAGAAAGCCCACCGTCTCCAGAATCCATACAAGGGGCTCTATGACTCAACAGTCTAGTCTATACGTGAGAGAGGAGGGTGTGAACGAAAGGTAGCAGGCAAGGTCCAGAGGCACCCAAAAAATCCCACGTTATCCACGTTCCTGTGACCCGGCGCTCAGCGTGATGCGGTGCATGCATCGGATACAGTGCGGCAGGGGGATTTGATCCAGGGAGGGGGGGGCCACTTATGATGAAGAATCCTTCCTTACAGGACCAAACTCTAGGCAAATCCCCAAGTCCTGGTTACAATACATTTTTGTTGAAGCAAAAGGAGAACTCAGGTAGCCTGAGGCTACCTTTTGTGACCTGCATAAGCTTGGAAAGGTTTCTCGATGATTCATCCCTGGTACAAATTCTAATTATGGCAAGAACATGTGGCAGCTTTAGCACCTTTCCCTTTTCGATCATGCAAGTCGCGGCAAAGGTGTGAACCTCTTTCAACCAGATCGCAGACGTGGAAGTTCGCCCCCATGTTCCATGTTCACTCGATGACCTCCGAAACTTCCACTGCATGGAAAAAGCCTGAAACAAGCCATTGTCTAACCCAAAAGCCAAAGGCACCTCAACCACGGAGTTGCTCCTAGTAGCGTCCTTGCTCCTAGTAGTACGGCCAGGAGCCCCTAGTAGCGTCCTTGTTCCTCGTAGCGATGCCCTTTGCTCCTAGTAGCGTCCAAGGCCTTTCCTTGAACTTCCCAACTTACGCTTCTCACCACCCTGCTGGCCCACTCTCGGCTGGAGCCAGGGCCCTGGAGCCCGCGAGCCAGGGCCCCCAGCAGCAAGCACTCTCGGAAGACCAGGCCGATGCCCAAGTCCTGGGTTACACTCTTCCAGTAGGGCCAGACCTGGCAAGCGTCGCAGGTCTGTTCTAGAGGTCGATGACGCGGGTGAGCTTGATTTTGGTCACGTCGGAAGGGCCACAACTTGGGTCAACATCTGGAGGCGCTGCATGTCGCGAAATATGAGCTACACACCAGATCAGTCAAATGATGTCAAATGTAGACCTGGAGCGTTTGGGTTTTCTGGCGAAGCTAGGTGGATGTTCCAAGCCACTTAGATACTTAGATGGCTCAGACTCCGGTGGTAGGGGAAAAAGTGTCTTGGTTCCATCTCCATGTCCTTTCAATGAAGAGGAGGCTTCAGGAGCCCCAGAGAGATGGGTGCAGGATGCTTGCCTCTGAGAAACATCCATCACTTATATACGTAAGGAACAGCCATTGATGTGCCGAAAATGGAATCGGGATCCCCATCCAAAACACCAAGCAACTACCAGTATCTTGGTTGGGTATGTTTAGTGGGGGTCATTTCACCGACAGGTTGTTTGCCCATTTCGATTTCCCCTTCTTTCTGGATTTTGAGGCAAAGGTTTAACAGTGTATTCTGCAATTCCATAGGGTTCCATCCAAACATCGCACCCACAAGACTAGAGATGAAGTGATCCCTTCAGAAAGACGTGCCATTGCGTTTGGGTTTTGTTTCGTTGTGGAACTTCCGAATGCGATCTGAACTGGTTGGTTTGGGATCTCACGAATCAAGAAAGACCTCCAGCCAAATTTGCAAAACAAAATCAATAGACTGGCCGTTCATGAAAGCTATGCCGGGCTAGTGATTGGCAGTGGGAAAATGGCCTTCGACACATCTCAGGATGCAACCTTAGCAAGTCCAAAGGGATGTGATTCACCTTGTGCACATCTGTGTTATCCGGAGTTTTGCCGACAGGAGGGATACAGAAAGTACTTTCAATCTGTAGTTCCAAGAGTTGCATCACAAACTGAAACCCACTGGGGTTAATCAACAAGGAATTTGCGCAAAAAAAATATACTGTATTCCTTTGAGTGATGGCGCTAGAAGGATGGTATGCAAAGACCATACCTAACCACCTTACAAACAAACTCTCTCATGATTTGAATTTATGAGCGAAAGCAGCACGAAAATGTATATACAAAGTTGTTATAACTAATTGTGTATACTGTATATAGGCTTAGGTGCTTAAGAAGGAGTTCCTTCACAAAATCACTTACAGTAAGACTCGCTCTTTCTTCGGCTTGTGACTCATGGGTTCCCCTGACCGATTGACCAATCCTTTTGCCTGCTTGAGCTTGGCGTAATGCTTCGCCACGCCCGGCGCGGCCATTTTTTCTCAATGTCTCCTGCGGTGAATGAGGTCTTCTGCCACCCAAACGGAGGTGCCGCTGGAGCCTTTGGAGGCGATGAGGTCTTCTCCCTTTTTTCTACAATAACTTGGTCGCTTGCTTTGAGAGATGGATTCCGGTCCCAATGGAAGTCATCGACTGTTCCATGCTTTTCCTACCTTTCGTTGGTACGGATGGGTGGGCATTGCAAGATAACCATGACCTATCTATGAAGACACTGGTCAATGTCCTGCACGTGGAAGATCAAAGTGTTGCTGAAAGTTCATCCTATCCAGCTCAGTGCTTTGTTCATGCTGCTGGAAGATCTTGTTATCATAGACACAGGAAATACTAGTTTGTTTCTGGAGAAGATGGCCCGGCACAAATGACTGGCACAAAACATGACAGGACAGGTATCCAAGAAAACTGGTCTACGAATCCACTTGCACTTGACCTAGGTCAAGTAAAGAAATGTCTTCACAATCTTCAAGAAATAAAAACCAAAATGACACGGTTGCAAGGTCTCTACCCGTGAGGATTGTCCAAATTGTATCCACTCATCATTCCTCGTTAAACAACCCCTCAGAATTCAAGCTGAGCTTTGTTGTTGAACCTCCATTCATTGCCATTGGACTCTCAACTGTGCACAAAATCCTAGGAAACACAACCACTCGGTGAGACTCAATAGTATACCAAGTGGGAAACACCACAAATCATCACAGATAAGGAGTGGAGGAGTGGGTGTGGCTCATCTTCAGAATCTTCACCAAATCTCATACCCTCAGATTCTCCACTTGTTAGCGCCGAGACCTCTGAAGCCTCCCCGGCACCTCCAAGGCTTTCTTCCCAGCTTCTGCTTCGGTCTCCGCCTGGCAGTCGCATGTGATCCCATTGGCCAATCGATGTTCAAAGGAGTCCCAAGAAAATCCACACTCATCCAAGAATCCAACAAGTGTTGGAACATATTTTGAACAATCGCCACGCAAGACTCTCGCAGTGCCCACACTCCACACAGTGATAAAGAAATGGACCCATATTAAGTGGAGGACATGCCAACCATGTCAACTTCTCTCATAACAATGACGGCTCTGGCGACTCTTCATGATCATGTCAGCACCCAACCCCGATCAAAAAATATCAAAAAAACAAAAACAAAATGTATGGGCCAACACCTTGGATGCTCCGAGGTTTGCAAAAGGTCGTGATCTTCACAAACCAAAAAACAAGCGATCCTAACATCGATGCTGGAGCTTTACAGCCTCTCTGGCCCAGACAGAGAGAGAGAGAGAGAGATGTCAAACCAAAGGTTCAAAAGAGTCGAAACTACACTGGACCGAAAAAAAAAAACCTAAGGGCAATGTCTGAACAATCATATATACAAGATGGTACAGAAACACCAAGAAGGCTTGTAGAGTTCAGCGCTGTACAGCCGCCACACCCAGGAATCTACACTGAGAAGGTGCAGGATGCCGCTCCCCCGCGCTCAGCATCTGCGAAGATACTCGCCTGCGCTTCTGGTTTGAGGAGAGCCTCACGGCAAGAAATCCGCAGGTTAAGGGTGGCGGGCAAATACCAGTATTGTATAATGATACTGATGGCCCTTGAGCCACATTCATGAGTCACAACGCAAACCTCAAACTGAAAGACTTTCATGGTTTCCTTAAAATAGACGCGGCATGAGTATTAAGCTGCATCGCAACATGTTGCAACATATAAACACAAGAAACATCAATTTGCCATCCTACAATGAAGGTTCCCATCCGCTATTTATACAAATCCCCTAAAACAACTTTTGCTTTGCAAAGGTCAAAAACCATTTGCGGTAAGTCACCACTGTGTGACAGTCAAACCTCTCCTCGCGTTGTCTGGCACTATCGAACACGTACGAAACATGGTTTGGAGCGATGTACCTAACCATGCCACAGATCTCATGATCGACCGCACGGACCCTCGTTGCCTTAGCTCTCAGCAAGATGCGCACCACTGCAGCATCCACCTCGTAGCCAAAGGCCTCCTGGCGCTGGAGTAAAAACTCCGCTTGAAACTACATACTCTCATGATACACTGGGCAGGCTGGCATGTTCCCGGATCACCCTTCTCAGCTTTGGCATCAAACCTCTTCGAAGCTTTACTCAGGTGCCTCCGACACCGACCTGACGCCTCGCGGTGCGTTCAGTCCAACTGCCCCTTCGGCCTCTCCCTGGAGATGCTCTTTGCTGATCAAGCCGTGGCGGCCTTCGGTGAGCCAATCAGACCGGGGGTCGATTGGTGTATACACATGAGAAACCTATGAACTTCAAAGAACCTATGATGTGTTTACACTTTACACATGTGAAGCCATGAGTTTGCGCTTGGACAGATTAGACATGCGGGAACAAACATGTGGAAAACACTATAAATGATAAAACCTCTCTCTCTCTCTCTCTTTGTGACCCAATAAGGACTCACCAGCCTGAAGGGATGACGACTAACCACACCGTCAAAGGTGAAGCGTTTTCCGACGAGATCCTTTTCACAACGTGACCGCTGGGCAACGCGTGAAAGAGGTGCACGCCAAGAACACCTCACTTGCACACGCGAGGTCGACAGTCGGCCCGGCCTACTTTATTGCCAAGGGGCAACTTCCCAAAACTCACTTGCGCACATCAAAATTAACTCGCTTGCCCACACAATGACTCACTTGTGCCCGCAGCGACTCACTTGTGCATGTGGAAGCGCACATAGGCATGTTGTGGAAGTGCCACGTGGAGGAAGGTGGACTTAGATGGAGTGGTTCCTTGCGGCAGGATTCCGCGTGCATGCATGGCACCTTCCTTCAGCAAAAGGCTCACTAAAGGTATGGTCACGTATGGTACATTGGAACAGCACCTTCCTTCTCTAAACTTTACTCTCGGGTGGCTGCTGCATTGGAACACGAGCTAGGGAAGGCAAGGCCAACACTGCGGAGTGTGGGCCGGTCAGTGTTCTGGAGCACCGCAGCCAAGTCACAGCAGGAATTCCGATCCTTTTCCATACACGCTCATCCGAAGGACATGTAAGGACGGTAAAAAGTCAAAGGATGTGTGACAAGGAAGCTTCCGAGGCGGAGAATGTTTTCTAGTCTCTTCGGGTTTGAAATGTCCTGTGGAAGCCTCGAAAACCCAGAAGCCTTGGACGACCTGACACCTTGAAGGTCTGCATGCTTGCTCCTGTCTTCATGGCAGTGTACAGGCCAGTGCGATGCCCCAAAGAACTATCGACTAGATCTTTGAACTAAAAGACTAAACAAACATCACCAGCTGGAGGTGCTTGGCGAGGTGGCCCATCCGCCACAAACCCAACCTTTTTAGGCATCTGGTTGGGCACATCAACCAAGCCAAAACAGAAGGAAACTATGCAGTTGATTCGGATGTCGCGCACTAACTCCGCATGGCACACGCACACGCTGCACGTACGAAACATGGGTGGAGTTCATCTGAACAAAACCCTGAGTCTTGCTGAATTGAGAATTTGCTACTATACACAGCATGAACACCCAAACAGCCATGCGATGTGTCCTTTCATGTTTTTCCCCACATTGCCGTGTGGGGTTCTTGTTTTTTTGCTGCACCTCCTCGCTCCTCCGCCTTCCTCCTTCCTCCTCCACTCTCACACAAATCATCTCTCACACAACATCACTCACACAACATCTCTCACACAACATCTCTCACACAACATCTCTCACAACAACATCTCTCACAACAACATCTCACACACA